TCAAATTGTTACCAATTAATTTCATTTATAAAAAACAAAAACACGTGCGCAGCCCAAAATGCTTGAGTTATTTGATTTTTTTTTTTTTTTTCTTCTTTTCCTTTTTAAACTAAGCTCATTATATTCTATGAAATGATGTAGAATGTCCTAATGTGTAAACCGTAAGTGAAAAATGTCAAAACAAAAATATAAATTTGAAGGAATCTTTAACTCGTTCCTTCACTGGTTTTCAACCAAACACATTGCTTAGATTTTGCAGCATCAGTTCCTTGATGACGTACCAATACAAGATTATGCAAAAATCTTTTTAACTTTTTTCCGATATTGAGATGGTAACGCATACAACAATAATCCTGAACATTCTAAATCTGTATTTGCTGTCTCAACGCTCATCCAAGTTTTCGAGTAGTTCTCCACCTGCACAGTAACAGCATCAATCAGAGTATCTTTCAAATTAATACCATAATTAAGTATCTGAATATGAATTTAAGAAGTAAATATTTCCCGCTATAACTGTTTTTGAGCAAGTAAAATATCGACATAAGCTCCCTCCTGGGTCGAGAAGGGAATTGCAAATGTTGCAAGCTCCATTGCAAGTTAAGTGTTTTTTTTTTTTTTTTTTTTTAAGCTTGGTATTCCAAAGGGTGAAATAAATGAAATTTTAAAATTTAAATCACAAACAATACATTATTCGGCATGTTCAAGAAGTAGTAGTCGACACTGCGGGACAGTATTACAAACAATATTTCAAAAAACAAAAAAAAAAAAAATTGATTTAATCTTATCCAATCCCATTCGTATTTCATTCCTGCAAGTGTCCATAAAAAGCAAACAACAGTTAATTAATAATAAAACTACGCTGCACAGAGATGCAACAGCAAACAAACTTAATACACCATTTTTGATACATTTTGACATTACCATCTCAATGGCAGAATTCTATGCCCATCCAATTGTATTAACTTCCTGTTTGGCCCCTCATTTTCATCAAACTTCATTTTCAACAACATATTCATAAAACCCACGACTTTTATTAACTTTTCAACAACATATTTCATCGGTTTTCATCAAAATATACTTAAAAAAAACTGATTTTTAGCTAAACCAAACAGGGGCTAAATCTTACTTCAGATTCACGATCTTTTTCCAAAAAGTGGCGAACCTTAATACATGCTTCACTTTCCGCGCATACAGTTCTCGCTGTCCAATACGCATAGTTCCCCTCTCCACCATTTGAAAATAAAAAAATAAAAAAACGTTCCCTAATAATAAAACAATCCTCGCACAGAACAAAATACAGCAATGAGAAGTAGCTGGTTATGGCACTACAATAATGTAACCAAATTTGGAGTAAGATTGCTTTTTCCTTCTTTATCTGTATGTATAGGAAGAAGAGAGTTGGGGATTCAAACCTGTACATCAATCCACAACTGGAGAAGACGACCTTGTCCCTATCAGTAGTTACCATTCCTAAGAAACCTAAACAGTAAATGAAAACATCCAACAACAGAGAAAGAGAAATAATGCTATTTGTCTCATCCCCATGTGAAGTGGGGTCAAGTAATAAGACCAATTAGACCCACTTAATTGGTCTTATAATGCCACATCATACGAGGATAAGGATAAGCAGCAACACTCAAATGAGAGACGACAATAGCAAAAACCTATTCACAGGTATACACAAAATAGACCAGGATAAAGCCTTACAACCACTCTTTTAAATGTGCCTTGAATGGGAAGAATTACTTTAGATGACGACTTCTAGCAAATAAAAATTTGTCGATAGCTGACAATCCCTAGGAGAGATATACACAAGGGGAGTGGATAGGAGGGGGCAACAAATTGAATGACTTGCAGAGTAGAAAATTTTGGTTCTTTGCCTATCAAAAGGTTCAGCTCCTCTTTATAATAATTTAAACTAATAGAATGATGATCATATTTCAAAAATAAAGGCCAAATAAAGGATATGAATTTCGTCTTTATTTCCTCCTTTTTTTTACTCAATGGACTCTCTTACAACTTCTGCCTCCATTTGGGAAGAATTGTTTAATGGTTTTTAATTTCTACATAGATAGAAAATGAGTGATAGATACTGGATAGTACGGTCATTGATATGTTTGGTTGAAAATGAAGTATGACCAAATTATAAATGGTTTATAAGTTTTGCCAAACGGAGGCTCTATTTCAATTCTTCCACACTTCCAACCCTAACCTGAAACGCCCTTTTTAACAAACCTCCTTTTTGGAGCTTGGTTTTCTCAGGTTTTTCCCTCGAACTGTAAGTGAAATATTCATTTTGAAACCCCATTCTCCATTGTTCTTATATTAGATATTTATATTGCATTTATGAGAAGAATTTTCTGTTTGGTAGATGAACATTAGGGATGACAAGAAAAGGACAGAAAATATCTGTTGGGCAAGCAAGAGAGACCACTTACCACATATAAAATATCCTAATAGAAAGCACAAAAAAACACACTGGAATGAAAAATCAAGCACACCGGCTTTCCGATAGCCAGAAACATCACAGCCCTTCAGAAATAAACAACATTTTAATAATTGAAAATACTGAGTAAGTGTAAAAGGAACATAAAAAGAGAAAAAATTAAGAACAAAACAATATCAAAATCTGAGCTATCAGTGATGACCTGCAGAGGTTTAGTTCTGCTTGTTCTGAATGTTCTCATGCTATTTTGCAACAATTGTTACTATTTGATTCAAACCTGAGCTATCGGTGATGACCTGCAGAGGTTTAGTTCTGCTTGTTCTGAATGTTCTCACGCTATTTTGCAACAATTGTTACTGTTATGTGGAACTAGCAAATCGAGATTTTAGGCAAAAGATAGAGAATAAACACAAGTAGTTTACATGGTTTGGCCTTAGCCTACATCCACGGGTAGAAACTAAAACTTCCCTAAAGGGGAGAGAAAACAAAACAGTAGCACGTAAATAATCCCGAAATACCCCATAAAATACATATTATGGGAACAAAGTTCTCAAACCAAAATCCTGCATTGAATGTATACCATGTGAATGACTACAATGGATCCCAAAGTCTCACCCCCGTGATAATCCATGTCTATCTCACATATATTAGAATACTCAAAAAAGTAAAAAGGGGCAACTATATATAGGAGATCAAGGGATTGGCTAACAATTCTGCCTTCGATGTAGCACAAATAAACAAATTCTGTTTCTATAGGATAAAAACCAAATTCTATTCTTTGTGGGATTGTACAATTCAATTCCTATTGTATGTAGGACAATACGAAGTCACAGCATGACCAATCTGTGCCTTGAATTTGGACAAAATGAATGATCCAAAACCTTCAAATAAGCATCTCTACCAAATTAAATTTCCCAACATTTCCTACAAAGTGAATCTTATAGTGTCTCCTCCATCGCTTCATGTCAATTTTCTCATCTTTGTATTTTATCCCCAAACATCCACCTTGCATTGATACCACTTGTTATTTTGAAGCTCCAAAGTGGAATTTTAGGCAAAGCATATAAAATTGAACAGACATGAGTAATTTGCGTGATTTGGCAATTGGCCTACATCCACCGTCCACGAGGAGGCGAGCACAATTTCACTAAATTAAAGGGAAGAATATGAAAGTGTAGCATATATTTAGTTCCAAAGGATATAAACAACTCAAACCAAAAAACCCGCATAGGCCTAAATTGAAAAAAATAAATAAAAATGGATCCGCAATGTAAGCATACCAAGTCAGCTATAAATGATCCCCAAGTCTCACTCTACAATATAGTCCATGACCATCTGAGAAATTGGAATGCTCCAAATTACAAAAAGAGCATCTATAAAACAAGAGAACTAACTATCCCTCTTTCACTACAGGATAGTGATTGTAAACAAACAATTTCATCTTCAGTATGGAAAATGGCGAAGTCAAAGCTCAGAAACATAACAAAGAATCAGAATTTCTCCTTTAGCTGTAAACAAGAAAGTGGAAGAAGTATCTCCTAATGGACATCTTAAGGAAAGAAAACAAGTGGATAAACAACTTTGCAGCATTTGGAAATACTGGAAGCATAGCATCAAAGAATTCTAATAAAGCTGCTGCTAGCAGGCAGTATCCACATAAACTCGAACAAGTAGAAACGTGTAAAGATGCAAGAGGAGAAAATGATGTTGATGCTAATGACAAGGGTGAAGAAAGTACTCTGGACTCATCCAAAGAAATGCACAATCATGTTGACACCAATCATGATCACCATTTAAAACAAATACAAGAAAATGAACCACGAATTCTGTACAGTGGTGACACGACATTCGGAAGCTATGAATCTAGGCTCGGCATTTACAATGATTAGTTCTGGAATGGGAAATGCCATCAATGTGAACCTGCACATGGCAGGAGGTTTGTGTCGCTCAATTTCAAACTGTTGGTAAAGGGAATGTTCGCTGCAGTATGGACATCGGAGCACAACTTTTGTGATTGCAAATGGCTTTAGTGGTTTTTAAGTAGTGGTAAGTTGGTAACGATGTTGCAAGTTTGCGACTGTGTTGTTTCGGAGGTCGATTTTGTCACTACCAAACAAAACAAATCAACAGGAAATATTTTCTTTTTGCTATAACAATTGAAGAAGTATTGTTACATGAACAATAGACATGAATAGTTTCATGAAAAGAAGGCTTGTGACTAAGATTTGGTCATAGGAACGATCTGATACTAATTGATGCAGATCTGGCAGACCAGGAAAATAAAAAAATAAAAGACAAGGGAGAAAGAGTTAAGGAAAGAGAGAAGAATCTGGATGAGAAATTTAATAGGAATAATCAATCAATTCAATAATCTATCTAAATTGAGCCCTAGTTTACCTTTTGATAGTGTAAAAAATTTAAATGTATGGGAACTTCTAATATGTCACAAATTATCTAATATCAAAATTTTAGTTAATCACACCTAGTCTAATCAAACTCTATTTTAGTCCCATTTATACTAGAGTCCTCATCAACATCCCAACTTCAGATATTTTCATCTTAAAGACAGAGAATTTGGGCGAAGAATTTGCACACAAGGATACAAGTCTGCATAAGAGGCAGCAGAATGGTATATCCACCCTGTACCAAGAGCAAAGAAAAGGCACCTGTTAATTAGGCCCACAAATTTATTAGATGTGGAGAATCCATGGTTATAGAAAAGAAAAGAAACCAGCAGAGAAGGATAAAATAAATGCTGCTCCATTGATCATTCAGGTTTTCATAAATTCAACATTGTGTTCACAACATTATGGAACTCATTCCTAACTTAATCACGCATATACATACCCACTGTTTGCACGTGGAACCCCAGCAGTAACCTCATACAAGAAAAGTAGCATTAAAACTTTCAAAACAATTATAAAAAAAATGTCTTGAAGCAGCCAAACATTGTGATACTGATATTATTCTCATCAACTGGGTGGCACAATTGAACGCTTTGAACTACAGAAGAGATGATGGACATATTATTGAACATAAAGAATTATTCATACAAAGAAAAAATGTAAAACTGTCAAAATAAACATTATATTCAGCAAACCAGAAATCTCTGCTTAAACTTTGATGACTAACACAATTAGACATGTGATTGAACTTAAGATTAATCGCGCAAAGTAAATATGTATAACTGTCAAGACAAACATTATCTTCAACGCACCAGATATCTCTATTTTAAACTTCAACGGCTAACTGAACAAGAAACCTTCCTACCATATCTAATACTTATGTGTGCATGTTAGACATGCTTGGCACTAAGAACTTGGAAATTCATAACCATAAATAAACCAGAAAACTAACTTAGAAACAAACACAAATAAAACAAACCCAAACTACCGAGTTACACCATCCGAAATAACAGGTTAGACTGCTAGAGTTGGCCTCTACTCCAGTCCTTGGAAAAATCAATAATGATAATTGGTCGAATTACGCCTATCATCATAGCGTCCTGGTCTAGCGTGACTAATACTATGCGACGCTGCCCCAAATAATCTTCGTCTGTAATCATTATCGGTGCTGTCATAGTGTGATCTATATCCATTAGGTTGGTGTACAGATACACCAGATCGAACTGGCACTGAATAGAAAAGAACGTTGTCAAAAAGATAAGAACGGACTCAAAAGAAAAGGTGAAATAACAAAGGTAAATCCAAATAAGAGTTGCATAATAGAGAAGAAAGAAAATGGCTCCACAAAAAAACATTCATCACCTTGTGCATAATTTATTTGGTGCTCTGAAGACCGGCACAATGTTGATAACCTTGCAGACTGTGGAGAAAATTCCACATTGTTATATGGTTCAGGGTAAGGCCTCGATTTAGGAGAAGAATAAACCACAGGTGGGGTTGCGATGGACAAATTTGCTGAGGGCTTGTCTTGCCCAGAAATCTGTTTTCCAAAATTGATTTCGTCACTATTTAATAAAAAAATGATGAACAAAGCTCCTATATAGATTTTCACTCCTCAACAAGAGATCAAGCAGCCAGCCCACAACCATCAGCAGATGAACACCAAGAAAATACCTGCTATCACTTACAAGCAAAAGCCAATGGACATTCACAAGTCTATCAACGCTCCATAGGATCCCTGATGGGAACTGGATAGGGGCTGACTTAATTGATAACCCATTGAGGAGTAAAAATTTAAGCTAGAATAAAGCAGCATTAAAAATTAACCTGCAGCATATATCAATTTGTACCAAGACAGAAGAGGAAAGTCAAATTCAAATAGAACAATAACTCTAGCCAATATTTGAAGAAACCAACTGAAAAAGGTGAATCAACACCATCAATAAATTGAGCTATTTTAGGATTTTCACTTACCGCAAATTTCAATGTCCGGTTGTACAGTGTAACAAGTCCAGTGAAAAGCTTGACAGCATACTCAGCTATCTCCTCCGATTCATATTGTGCAAAGGCGTAACCTTTTGGCTTATCAGTTTCCTTATCACGAGGAATATACAAGTCCACAACACGCCCAGCTTGAATCAGAATATCATACAATACCCTCTCGCTCACTCTCTCATCCAAATTGCCTGTATAAAAAGCATATCAAACCAAAGTCGAGCATACAGTCCTCTCAATGAATTAAGCACTGGAAGAGTAACAAGCAACATTATGATAATTTCACCACTGCAAGCAAACAGCGAAGGATCTGAAGGTGCAAAGCTTATGACAGGGAATTAAAATATTCTATGAAGATCAGACTACAGATAAGAGTTTGATTTTTCATCTTTTGATTAGCTTTAATATATTTGAATTTCAATTATACCTGCGTTATTAACCATATAAAAACTGAATCTAGTATTTTATTGTATTCAGATTATTCAAAATTGAATATCGATTTAATGAAATCTTCCTCCCCAGATTCTATTCTTCTACCCTGTACTTGAATATTCTTCTCCATTTCTTTCCCCAAAACACAATCATCATTTTTCATTTTTAAAATACAAAAAATGATCAACTTTATTGTACCCGTCATACATAATGGTAACAAGCACACGAGTTTAATATATATTTTAAAACAAAAAGAAATTTCCCTGCGTGCTTCAAAATCGAGATGTACAGTAACATTACAATGAAACTCGGAAAGATCCACGCTTAAAAGGAAATACAGATTGTACAACTCGCAAATCATTACATAAAACCCCTAAGTGCTTCGTGTCTCAATAGATTAAAATAGAGGATAATATGAACGACAATCGCCAAAATGGGAATTGACTAATATAATGAGCAAATATTGAAATCCAAATGACGGAAGCCAAATAAAATGTTCAAATTAAACTAAAAAGAGATGGATTAAACAAAAAATTGAGATAAACTTACCGACGTAAACAGAGGACTTAGGATTTTCAGCCATTAGTGAGAAAAAAATCTTTCTGGTTTCTGGAGACTTCGATTTGATGATTTGCAAGTGCTCTATATTGTATTTATACTGTTTACTTTTTCCTTATCCTCGTCGAAGTATAAGGTCGGGAATTGGAAGGTTTATAATCGAGTTAAATGTTTCAATAACCACTAAACTTTGGCATATGTCACGACTTAGTCACGGAACTTCACAATGCTTCCCATTGACCATCTAACTTTAAGTTGTTGCACTCCATCACTCATTGAATGTTTTTTGTTTAAATTTCCGCCTATGTGGATGACGAAAATCATATGTGGCAATTTAACTCCGTCAAAAATTGAAATGAGATGCCAACATAGACGACACCTCATCAAATTCATTATTCTCAAACACGCCTCTCCTCTTCCTTTTTCTGAAAAACCTAAAATCAGAGGCCCCCAATTTAACCCTAAGCCCCAAATCAGTCTTTGCAACACAATCGAAGGCCCTCCAAATCCGAACGAGAAGAAATTGAACTTGTTGGTACTCGTGGATTCCTGAAGAGGTAAATCCAAAGCTACATCTTCTCCGACAGACGATGATGCATATTGGTTGGAAACGAGTTAGTACACTTTTGCATTTTTCTTTTATAATTTGCTACTTTATGCATTTGATGTATATTTGTTGGAATGCATTAAACGGAGATGGTATTAGGTAGTGGAAGTTGACAGACGATGCTGGGTGATTCCTTTTAGTACCTGACTATTTTAGGGGGACTACTTTGAAGCTCGTGAATTTTCCTTGCTAGAGTGAGGGCTTAGGTAATTTGGATTTTAATTGAATAGTTATACTTACGGATTTTTCTTGTTTGCGGGTAGCATGTTTTAGTGCAAGCTGTCAACTTCAGAGTTAGAAATTATAAGGCTGATCTATCAGCTCCCTATCAAGGCGAAGCTGTACTCCAAGCTGATCAACAAAAAATCTTACTTGGGGTCAGGCTTAACTATGTAAGATATGTTGAAGGAAGTTCAAAAGCAAAACAGGGAGTTAATTGAAAGGGTCGAGTCAGTTTAGACACTTAAAAATGAACTTAAGGAAGCCAATAAATATGTTGTATGATCCATCGTATGTAACTTTCGACATAACATTTTGTAACATTATAGGCGGACTTGTAACTAATGTGTCATCTTGTCGCCAAAGTGCTTTGAAAAATTTTGTGTAATATTGTATCTATCCAGTTATGTGTATTATATAGGGGAAGTTGAACGATGATGTAAGCTGCGGTGTGATTTTTTATTGTTTCATTCCCTTCCAGTGAAATTGAAAGCCTTTGAAATAGTGAAGTTGTTGTGATAGGTGATTGGTATAGTTAGAGTTGCTTTGTTGTTGAAAATGGAATGTACTGAGATTATTTTGGGAGTAGAACAAGACTTTTAACCTCTTCAATCCCGTTATCATTATTATTATTATTATTGTAAATGAACCACTTCTTGACTCCAAGCTAAGCGTGGTACATAATCCACACTAAGAGCAGGCATCTGGTTCCACACCATTGTACACACACAACTCATATTTGCCCTCACTTCTTCTTCTTCTTGGACTTGAAACCAAAAATCTTGGCCACAAGAAGGCACAAGCATACGCTCTTAAACCCTATAACGACCATAGGGTATCATTCCAGCATAATGACAAGGCTTTCTTCTCCCTCTTGGGCCGGAAAAATCAAGAACCCCAATCCCACATGCTGATTTCTCGTTTTCTTCTTTTTCTTTCCATTTGTCTTCTTCTTAGACCACCATTGTTCAAGTTCTCCTCAAAGGCCTCTGCCAATAAGCATGCCTCTGCTCCCAAAAAGCTAAACTTGGTGATTTTATGAACGTCGATGCAAGTGAATCGAAAGAATTCAGTGTGTTTGCACGGTTGAATGAAACGAAAGAATTGAAGTATATCAAGATGCGCAGATCATGGAACAGGTCAACACGTAGAGGTAAATGCAAAGGTAAATGCTTTAATCCTTCAATCTTCTCAAGTCCATATTTTTGCTGATATATTAATGCTGCTTAGAAGTTACCTATCGGTTCAAAACCGAGATTTAGCACAGAAATTATACCCATTTACAAATTAATAGCATAGGCAGAAAACGATATTGATAAACCAAATTCATCTTGACAATAACAAAAAATTTTCATTCCATCTACACAATTTAGCACCCACGGTTCTTAGCATTTCTACAAAATGAATCATCGCACTTTGTCTTGTTCGTGCCCTTCGCGATCTAACTTTCGAACTTCAATCGACGGCCAGAGAAAATGAAGCTCTAGGTTCGCTTCTTCTGGAATCCACAAGTACCGACAAGTTCAATTTCTTACCGTTTGGATTTGGATGGCCTTTAGAGACTGATTCGGGGCTTAGGGCTTAATTGGGACCTCTGATTTTGGGTTGTTTAGAAAGGGAGAGGAGAGTCGTGTTTGAAATAATGATTTTGATGAGGTGTCGTCCATGTTGGCATTTCACTTAAATATTGGATAGAGTTAAATGCCACATATGATTTCCGTCATCAACGTAGACAAAAATTCAATCGGAAAACATCCGGTGAGTGATGGATTGTTCAAGTTCTCCTCAAAGGCCTCTGCCAATAAGCATGCCTCTGCTCCCAAAAAGCTAAACTTGGTGATTTTATGAATGTCGATGCAAGTGAATCGAAAGAATTCAGTGTGTTTACACAGTTGAATAAAACGAAAGAATTGAAGTATATCAAAATGCGCAGATCATGGAACAGGTCAACACGTAGAGGTAAATGCAAAGGTAAATGCTTTAATCCTTCAATCTTCTCAAGTCCATATTTTTGCTGATATATTAATGCTGCTCAGAAGTTACCTATCGGTTCAAAACCGAGATTTAACACAGAATTTATATCCATTTACAAATTAATAGCATAGGCAGAAAACGATATCGATAAACCAAATTTATCTTGACAATAACAAAAAATTTTCATTCCATCTACACAATTTAGCACCCACGGTTCTTAGCATTTCTACAAAATGAATCATCTCACTTTGTCTTGTTCGTGCCCTTCGCGATCTAACTTTCGAACTTCAATCGACGGCCAGAGAAAATGAAGTTCTAGGTTCGCTTCTTCTGGAATCCACGAGTACCAACAAGTTCAATTTCTTACCGTTTCGATTTGGATGGCCTTCAGAGACTGATTCGGGGCTTAGGGCTTAATTGGGACCTCTGATTTTGGGATTTTTAGAAAGGGAGAGGAGAGTCGTGTCTGAAATAATGATTTTGATGAGGTGTCGTCCATGTTGGCGTTTCACTTAAATATTGGATAGAGTTAAATGCCACATATGATTTCCTTCATCCACGTAGACAAAAATTCAAACGGAAAACATCCGGTGAGTGATGGAGCGCGGAAACTTAAAGTAGAGTGACGAGTGAAAAGCATTGTGAAGTTCAATAAATAAGTCGTGACATATGCCAAAGTTGAGTGGGCATTGAAACATTTAACTCGTTTATAATCACCACCGACTTAGACTCGTATGATTGAGTGTTTTGTAAATAAGACTGTTTTTGTAACGATTAAAATTAGATTTTCAAGTCAATTTTGATAAAAATTAATAAAATATGCAAGTAGTAAAATGTAACTTTATCATTGAATGAAAATTGTATTTCTGCGGCCCTAAAACTTATTATCATTGTATACCTAATTCTTTCCTACAAATATAGGATTTTGATGCACATTATAATACAGACAAGTCTATTGATTTTTATTCTTTCTTCTCTTTTTCTCTATTTTCACGATACGTTATCAGCATGAAACCTTAGTTTTTCGAAGTTTAGTAAAAGTAATAATTTTTTAAAACTATAATCATCTATCACATTTACCAAAATTAATTTAATAACATGTACTTTTTTTTAAAAGTATAATTACGTGTACCTAAAATAATTTGATAACACTTGAATTTTTATAATATGAAATAATACACTTTCTAGGATAGCTAGTATTGGTCGGGTCCGAATAAAGATGTTTGATGGTACGATTAGAACACTTGATGCAGTTGGACACGTTCTACATTTGAAGAGAAATCTTATCTTCATGGATACTCTTGATTCAAAATGATACAAATACACTAGTGAATGTGGGGTCTCGATGATTCGTAAAGGAGCCCATGTTTTGTTATATATCTTCCAGTGTTATACAGAATTTTTGATTAATCAGCATATTTTAAGGACTCAATAGGATTTAGAGTTGGATTATATACCGTTGGAGTCTAATTTGAAGTCTTCTTTAAAGAATACATCTCAGTCGAACTTAGAAGTTATGAGTAATGCAAATTTGACACATTATCGGCGGTGCCATTTTATTCAGTTGCTAGTAACAAAACCATTTTTTTAAAGCCTCCACATACATACAATGCTTCTAATTAGTTGATTATGTTTTGAATGTGATTAAGAGCGTTGATTTTAGCCAAAAAAATTTTTTTTATGCATTCAGTTGTGGTGATTCTCAAGATTTGTGTATGCCGTATTTGGTGATATCCAAGACCAGTTCTTGGAGGCCCAATTGGGAATTAGAATTTGTGTTGGACATGAAGAGATCAAGTTATAAACCAGGGAGAAAAAATCGCCATAATTTCGCTAGTCAACCGCTAGCTATGGTACTCGAGCGACGTTGTCAAATAATTAGTAGATCCTTGGCGCCCACCGGCACTCGAGCAACGTGTACGTTTGGCCCACACCCTTTTCGTGTTTTACAAGTGTTTTCAGCATTTTTCCTTCTACAACACCAATACTAGGGTTATGGACGTCCCACACTTGTTCCCTATAAATATTTGGCTCTTTTCTACAAGCTAGATATGCTATTTAACCTCATTACAAGTTAGACAAAGTTGTAAACACAAAATCTTTGTATTATTTAGCTATATTTTGGCAAAATCCCATTTTCTTTACAAATTATCTTATTCTTGAGTTTGCAATCAATTAGTTCATATTGGGCCATATTTTCTCTTCTTGCCTATTATTATAACAAA